GTGTTGGCGCGTCACATTTCTCCACTGACGCTTGATGTATCAATTTTTAAGTAGCTGGCCTAAACTGACGCCTGGATAGCCTATATATATATATACACACACACACACACACACACTGCTACTTCCCACCACTTTATGTAATCATGAGACATGCAACTGCGAGCACTGGGAAGAACAACTGAACTCCCCTCCTGTCATTGTTTTTAAATGTCACCTTTCAAATGCAGAGTGCGTCAAGGTATTTGTTAGACACCTCGTCATTTGTTGGTTCTTAACTGGAAGCACCGCAGCACTAAACACACGTTACAGATGGTTAGTCATAAATTCAGCGTAACAAGTTCAGGCAAATGCAGGTATTTGGAACGCAATGTTCTTTCAAAGCCTTTTTGGCCTTTGGTCTGTATACAAAACAACTTCATGAAAAAAAAGATCACAAAGGCAAATTAATTTGGGTTTTCAACAGAATATATACAAATATTTTGGAGTGTCTGCACACCCATCAAGTGTGAATTTCAACAACCGAGAAAATCTTTTTCAGCCCCTCAGAATTATTGCTGAGTTAAGACACGACACTGAGGCACAATCTAGTCAAAGCCAAACACTCAGGAGAACTGCAGTGTTGTTGGAAGCTCAAATTAGCATTTGCTAAGAACAAGTATCAAGTATGAGCCGCTGATCAGAAGCTAACGCTGATATTTCGCTTCTTATCTGAAGCTAACGCTGTTATTTAGCATCTTATCAGAAGCTAATCGATATTTAGCTTCTGATAAACGCCCCATACTTGTTTGGCAAAGTTGTCCGTGTGGTGGGAGTATGAATTATCAACTAATCAAATCTTTTTAGCTCTGCCCCACTTTTCTTTTTCTTTTTTTAAAACAACTCGAGTTGCAGCATTGAATTCAAGTGAAATGTTGACGAAAAAGCAACCCCTTTACAATGGAAATAAAATCAAAAGCAGACCAAAAGTGACAAACGTGGTCATAATAACAGGCTGGACAACATTTTAACCAGTGCACTCAATCGGTTTTTATTCATCAAAGGGAAAAAAAAAAATAAGGTCATGACAACGCGGCAACCGGCTCAAAACAGCATCTGTTAAAACATGTCAAATAATTCATATTAAAAAAGTCCGGCTAACAAACTGTAAACTCCCTAAGAGGTGATCATCTAAAGTGCTTCAGGTGGGAGATAGAAGAGAGCAACCACACCAATTGAAAATGCACAATTAATACTTTGCTTTCACATATAGAGTCTATGAAGTAGTTTAAAAAAAAAAAGTGATGAGCTAGCATAAAAAAGTGAAAATTTCATTGAAGTTCTAACCCATCTAGTTTTTTTTTCTTCCTTTAAAATGTTTTTTGGTAAGAATATAGAAACCATTGGCCATTCAAATAACACTTTGTACCACCATTCCAGACCCCAAACCTTCTGAGTGTTAGATCACATCTTGAAATCAATACTTGTCGAGAACTTTCTCATCGTCATACTTGGTTCCTTTACACGTCACTTCCTGATCCACAGCATGGTCACATGACCAAAGGCTGTGTTCACACTTGAGGGTTCCCAACATATTTTTTTTTTTGCTGTCATTTGAACGGACGACAGCATTCACACTTGAACATGACCTTAGATCGGTCACTAGCTGCTTGTTTGGTGCGCACCAGGATTCGGATGGCAGCATCCAATATCGGATGAAAACAAAATTCACTAGCAGAGCGATCTGACAAGTTTGTTTTCACCGAACACAAATGGAGCGCTTACACTTGCGGGAACAGCTGATAGCGTTCCAACAACCAAATGAGTAGGGCAATAACACCAGAGTTTCTTTTAACGGAAGCAAACGGGATCAGAGTGGTCCAGACTAACAAATAAATGATACATTTGGTTCTTTGATCCGCATAGCTTCAATGAACCTCGACTCACCAGAGTTCACTAATAGGCAGGACGGAGACAACCTCTTTCAGTGGACACAGTCAGCTAGTTGGACCAAACAAACGACTTCACTAGACCGCTTGCACTGGAGTTGATTTGAACCGAACAAAGTGGAACAGTACTCCTGTCTGGACCAAAAAGATACAAGATGCACATTTTTGATCCGCCTTGTCGCATTTTCATGATTTGGATGAAATTTAGCAGTCACCCTTGAACCAAACCGACATCCAATCGCTTGCAAGTGGGCTGAGACAAAGTCTTCAAGCGGTCTCAGTCCACCTTCTTGGCTCTGCATCGCATTCACCACTTGAGCTGATGTGAACCGAATTGCACCAGAGTTGAAGACCGAGACCAATCCTTCAAGCAGACCTGGTCCTCTTTCATCTGTGTAGCATTCACACTTGAGCTCAAGTGAACCTAAACTGCATCTTGAGTCCAATTGCAAGCAGATGGAGATCTGGGACCAAAATGGTTTCAGTCCAGATGATAAAAGTTCACACTTGACCAAACCTGATGAATTTGAACATGGACTCAGACTGGTCTGAATCTAATTGCAAACCGTGCTTTAGGTGGACCAAACGAACCGCACTGGGAACGCAATCGGATCAGAGTTCATTTGAAAGCATGACAAGTGTGAACACAGCCTGACAAACCTTTAAGCTCTGAGATTTTTTGACAACAATGTAGACGCTGGATTCAACTCCAGACATTCCTTCACCAGTAACTTGCAGTCTTTATCGCTTCTTCCTCTGCTGCCGGATCGCCTTTCTGTGTTTCAGGATCAGGTCATATAGTCGATCCAGGCCCTCCCTAAGTCCGTCTCCAATGATGGCGCAGGCGGGCTGCAGGTGCCACGGGGTCGCCGGGCTCAGTTCCTTGAGTGCCAGGAGCTTCTCAATTTCCGGCAGGCCCAGGGAGTGCCTCAAGTCCTGCTTGTTGGCCACCACCAATAGCGGCACCCCCTGGTTCTCCGAAGTCTTGGCGATCTTGTGGAGCTCGGTCTTGGCTTCCTCCATGCGCTCGGCATCTACCGAGTCCACCACAAAAATGATGCCATCCGTGCATCTCGTGTACGACTTCCACAGCGGCCGCAGCTTCTCCTGGCCGCCCACGTCCCAAAACTGGAAGGTCACGGAGCGGTGGCCGCCCAGGGATACCCGCACCCGCTCTGCGTTGAAACCCTTGGTGGGCACCGTGTTGACAAACTCGTTGAATTGCAGCCTGTACAGCACGGTGGTCTTCCCGGCAGAGTCCAGCCCAAGGATGGCGATGTGGAAGGACTGGAAGAAGGGGATGCTCGCCAGGAAACTAGGTTGTTCCGAGAAGCCATTCCCCATCTTTCCTCATGGGGAAGGGCCAGCGGGATTGGAGCCAATTTTCACCCACTAATCCTCAATGTAATTTTATAATCCAAACTGGCTGCAGCAAGAACCTGAAAGCACATTGAAGGTTATTTATTTTTATTTTTTTTCATGCAACACTGATCTACTTGTGCTTTATCAGAACAATGACGTTCAAAAACTAATTATAATCAATTGTAGGCATTTTTTTGAAAAGGGACTCCTTAGGGAAAATTCACTTTTTCATAATTTATAGACAGAAGTTTGACTCTCTGGAACACTTGCCCATCTACGAAGTGTGAAAATCTAGATCAAAGTTCATCTTTCGTTATCTGCCTAGTTCCAAAATGTATTGGGGTAGGTATTTTGCATACACATGTAAGACATGTTATTAAGACACCAGGAAAGTATTTATCAAAACTAAACTTTCTTTGCAACACTTTTGCCAAATGACACGGAAATCCCAAGGTTGCATTTGTTCCCACCTGTGCTGCACAGTTTAAGACAAACCAGTTTGACTTCAAGTAGGGAACAATTGTGAGCCTTCCTGATAAACGAACCCTGACCTGCAGCTGATTCTGATCAATTAACTTCAGTTTGCATTTACATTATATGACTAAAGCTTCGGGTCACTTGCTAATAAATGGTTTGAGAAAAAAAAACATTTGGGTATTCTTTTTTTGGGGTAATATTTAACACACACACACATATATTATATATATATATATATATATATATATATATATATTACACACACACACACACACACACAAAATAATATATCAATATAGACATCTAAACCATTTAGGTAAAGCCATGTATGTACCATCTTAGAAAAAAAAACTGTTGTAATGAGTCACCACCTACGACAGAATAAAGACTTGGTGGAGCGCTATGTTAAGTAAATATGTCAGTGAAAAAATAACAAAGGAAGAATTATGCAACGCTGCTTTATAACAGTGTGCAAACATGATCCAAACTGCCATGACAGACTTATGCGCAAAGAAGCACTTACAAAGAACAAATGCATCTGAAAAGACAAAAAATATCGCCAGGGGCTCGAACCTTATTTTCAATAAATCCCGATATAAAGGATTTCCCGAAATAATGTTAATTGCGTGATCCTGTTGCATTTTTTAAGTTACATCAATGTTTAGTGTGGAGTGTGGTGCATACATACCTACAGTGGAGCTTAACCGACCACGTAAACCTGTTTTAATTACAGGGGGCGACTGCACGCAAGGGAGGGTGGAAAAAGCAGCAGATCGGTTGAAACCTACCTGTCTGAGCACAAATATCCGCCGCTGTTTCAGAGTTCAAAAGCCGTCCTCCGCCGTGAATAGATGGAAAATGTCGAATTTTCACCTCCGCGGTGAGAGCGAAGGTAACACACCAACGGTGAAGTGTTGGAAGCTCTTCGTAGACCAGACTGACTACGCCTGGCTTGGGCTCTGCAGCTGGAGTAAACGCCCATGTCGATTCCGCCGCCGCACCCGATTGGTTTACTCACTTTCACGTCTGACCGCCGATTGGCTTGCCGAGGCTGTCAGTCAGCAATACGCCCGGGAACGAGGATCACCTGTTGTCAACTTGTCTTATCAATATTTAAATCTATTTAATCACAACTTGCTACCAGCTGCTGTTGTTTGGCGATTGAACGATTTAAAGGATAACAGCGCGATAGCTAACTTCCCCAGCATATCTTTGATGTTTCATATCGTGGGTATTTGTGTTATGCTCAGGAGTGTTGGAACCCATTGACACATTCCACAAATTATAACTTTTATCGTTGATGGAATAAAATAAGTGTTTTCGTTTCTGCCCGCCTTTCCTGTTAGAACCGTTCACACCCCAACCGTCCAACTGAAGCGTGCGAAATTCATACTGTATTCGCGTAAAGGACCATATAAGACTGAATGCGTGTATGGTGGTTACGATCATGGCAACAGTTAGCTTAGCTCGCAAGGTTAGCAACTGTTCGCGTGTGTTTGTGTGTGCGTGAGTGTGCGCATGCGTCCGCCCTCCTATTCTGCCCCCTCCCTTCAGCGTGTTTGCGTTTAAAGTGATTGGACAAGAGGCAGGAAATGACTGCAGCATATTACTTGACAGCGCCTCCCATCCAAGTAATGACCATTGTAAGTACTGCAACTGTATGTGGTAAACTGTACACCTTATATTGTTTTTCTCATAATTTAAGTACATTTATTTCAGTGATAGATTTAAAATATTCCATTAAATATATAGCATAAATATATGAAGAAATTAATTTGGGGGAATTAAAACAGGAGAAACACTTGGCAGCCTTAAGGTCACATGGCGCAATGCAGGACCTGCTCTTTGTTTGATCTGATATTTATTGTGTCACTAGTTGTGCACGTGCTCACAGATGGCGTATTGATATCATGCAAATATTCTATACATGCTTACAGCATGCGTGTGTTTATCTATTTTTTAGGGTGTGGATGTTGTCAAATAAGCAGCTGTTGTCAAGTTTGACCGGCCGGCTTGCTGCCTTCATCATAGCACTTTGATAACATCTAAACATATCACTTGAAGTCAGCAATTGCTATGCCGCAGACATTCTAGATTGTGCAGCACAGTGCTTATATAGAAAACTGTCTTAGAGCCTTGGTAGGAGTAAAGGTACGATGTGGAAAAAGCTTAATTTTCCTTGAGAAACAGTCAGAATTGTATAAGAATTAAGTTGTGTTTTTGAGGAAAAAATATTTTTCAACATATCCGTACAATTGTTTTTGTATAATCATTGTTTTTCAAAGGAAACAACACATTTTTTCTCTAAAAATAGGATATTTTTTTCAACTCAACAATCTTTATTTCTATAGCGCTTTCACAACAGCTGTAGCTGTAACAAAGCGTTTTACAGAACAATAGTCTTGAATGTTTCTCAGGGACAGCAGTGATGAGATATTCCCATTCACCACAAATAGTTATTGTCCTTGACAACATCAAAAAAATTATAATAAATAAGTCCATAGATGAGTGTGCCAAGTTAACAAAATGGCTATTACAGTATATACAGTTTAATTGACAATAAACTGCTCCACAGGATGCTTAGCATCCTCTGAAGACGGTGGGCCCGTTGTGTAATGTCTCAATAATTCCGTTAGATGGCAGCACATATTAAAATTACAAGCGTGACAGTTTAAGGCGGCAATTTTAAAAGTAAAATCTATGTTTTTGAAATGTGGGAGGAGCAAAGTGGGGATTTTTCTTTCTTTGTCCTTTTTTGAAAATGTCACTTATTTTCTGGGATGCTCGTCAATTTATTTTAGGAATTTGTGCATTTTGTGGACATTTTGATTGCTATTTGATTTTTCAATTTGTGCCATGTTTTTTTTTCTCTTGAGAATTTAAGTACCGTACATTTAAGTGAAATTTTATCCAATTTTCTTGGGGGGGGGGTTTGAGGGGGGGGGGTCCGTGGAAATTCATGTAAATTGTCGTGGAAATTTGCATCGATTTTTAGTGAAGAAGTATGGGGCCGACCCAGATGAGGTCAAGTCGGTCTTAGCGTCAGCGGCGTGCAAAGCGCGTATGCTGCCTACGGCAAGCCCATGCTGATGATTCCCCTTAAAAATAAATAGGAAGTGGGTGGGCCGGATGCGGTCATAAGATTTTACTACATGTATTCGCTTTCTCTATATAAGGATGTATATGCCCATTTGTTAAAGACGGATGGCCCTTTGAATGGTCTGCTGCATGCGCCCTTACCACAACCTTCTCATACCCCTGCAGACGGAGATCTGCATCTCTGTCGGTCAACCAGACAACTCCATCAACAGAGAGGAGTTTTAGGTGAACTGTTTCTCATCAGTCCATTTTGTTGGCCAAAAAGCAAGTGTTGAAATGTAAAGTCAGAGTACAAGTCAGTAAAACAAGCAAGCGTTGGATAAACATTGACAGCAAAGTCCCAGTGCAGCAAATCGAAAGGGGCCTGGCTCTGTTGTCGGCCATGTGAGGAATATAACTCCCTCCGCTCACTCGTAAATCTCCTCGGACCGTCAGCACAGCGGGCGCCTGGAATAGACATTGAGTAAGCCGCTTTCTCACAGCTTCCCAGTGCTGGCCTTGCTCAACCCCTGACTGGAAAAGACTGACTGTGGCAAAGAGATGGTGCTCTTTTTTCTGATCACGGCAGAGAAATTACCTTTGTTACCCCAACCAAGAATTTCTACTAATACTGGTGCTAACCTGGGCACTGGCCCGGAACTAGCATTAGCACAGGAGTGATGGGAAAGGGCCATTGGAGATAGGGTGAGAAGCTATGTCTTTTGGGAGGGGCTCAGAGTATAATCGCTGGTCCTCTGCATTGGGAGGAGCCAGATGAGGTGGCTCGGGCATCTGATTAGGATGCCTGCCTCTGAGGTGTTTCAGGCCTATCTCCCACCCCACTCGCACCACTGGAAGAACTGAACAAAGTGGCTGGGGAGGGGCAAGTCTGGGCTTCCCCTTTAAGTTGCTGCCTTCCCAACCCAACCCTGAATAAGGGAAAGAAAATAAATGGTTGCAAATAAAAAAATCTTTTCAATGTCTTGTTTGTCTTCCTGTCCATATCAGTTCATTGGTTCAGAGGGTTGAATTGGACCTTTATGCTAATGATTAATTGCAAGCCTTAATTACTACCCAAGCTGTGAGTGGGCCTGTTGTGTGATCCTGCTGCACCGCATGAACATGAGTGCTGGCCAATCTATCCCCTCAACTGAGTGCCGGGGAGTTGTCCTGGACTTTTTTGACATCGGCCAGGCGAGCACAAGTCTCATAATTCAGCGTGAGCGTTCCTGCTCTTCATCACATGAAATGTGCTCCAATTGAAAGTCAAGTTGCACAACTCCATAGCTTTTCTCTTTCCCAGGGAGAACAAGTTTCAGCTCCAGTCTGTTCAGTGCGTTGGCGCAGGACTGTGGAAAACGCCAAATTTGATACATGACTCATACATGGTCCAAGTATTTGACGCAGACCGCCAAGACCCCGAGTAGGGCAACTAGTTGTTTGGTTAGCCCGATTTAATAAGCTATATGGTCAAAAGAATTGGGACATATCGCAGAGTAAAATTTGAGTTGTCCTTGAGCAACTTCCAATCTTCTGGGAAGACTTTCTATCGTACACTGGAGTGTGTCAATGGGAATGTTTTTAGGGAACTTAATGAATGTTTGTATTTGTTTCATTAACTTGCTTTGCATGTTTTTGGGATGTGTGTGTGTGTGGGGGGCGGGGGGGTACCCAAAGAAAACCCACACAGGCACGGGAAGAACATGCAAACTCCACACATGAATGCCCGGGCCGGAATCGAACCCCTCACTTCTGTACTGTGAGGCGGACGTGCTTCGGACAACTCATTTTGACACTTAGGACTGCCACTCTGCCGTATTTTCATTTTGGACATGTTAATTCAATACCTCCCCTTTTGAGCCTATGAATTTAGCCTACTGTAAGTATCTCTTCTACTGCTGTACTGCTACTTATGTACAATTCAGTCTGCATCTGTTCAATTTGTTGAAGTACAGATCCATCAATATTTTAACAGGTCTTTTTTTTTTTTCTTCAGCACAGTACTACTTGTACGAAATTACAACTTGAGTACTTTTGCCACGTCTGATAATTGACCGTCAACATTCATTTTCATTTTTGCACTGCATTTCGTTAAGGATCTGTAATTTTACGTCAGATTTGAATCAGTACTCATTTTATCAATGTTATTTTTACGTTCTAATATCTGTACTTCTACTTAAGTACTTGAGTACTTTTGACACACACGCGGAGTGGGTTTTGTGTGTCCCAAAGTCCCAACGTATGTTTTTTGGAGGTTAAAAATATCGGCGGTGCTGGGTCTTTGTGACGCTCCCGCCCCTCCCGGCGTTCCCTGCGCCTGACGCAGTGAGCCCAGCCTGCCTCCAGGCTGTAGTTCGGGGACACCGAAGCCGAACTCCCACTTCCACTTCCACGCGTAAACCGAGAACGCTACACGATGTGTGGGGTGACGAGGAGGGCGGAGAGCGCGGAAGGATTTACCTCGACCGGAACCAGAGTGAGGAGGACGATGAGCATTGGCGTTGGGACGCTTGTCAAACTTGTGGCTGTCGTCGCGTTTGTGCTCCCCAATTTAGTGCGCGCGCAAACGGGTACGTTCGGCACACTTCTTCTAAAATGTGGGATTATTTTCGACAATCTCGTAATGTTTGTCAATAACAGACAGGGAATACTTCCGAGAGACATTAAAGTAATAGACAATCAACAATAAAATAAAAGTCCCGATGATTCAACACCTGTAAGTGGACATTAAAGCAATACAGACACTGTAATGTACTAAAGTAACAATTGTTAGCCTAATAGCATCATGTCCCTTGTCATTTTTTAATTTACTGCCACAATAGCAAAATAATGTTTGACAACAATTCTTTTTTTCTTCGTCTATTTGACTATGTTTCCCGTGATGACAGGAAGCCGCAAAGGTTGAATCCAGACAACTCCACTCTTGAAGCCGCTCCCCTCAAATTAAAAGCACATTGAAAAGAAATTTGATTTTGCGAATATGTGGCTGCCAAATCGCAAGTATGCATGGGTGTTGAATCGTAATATCACCATTCAACACTAGATGGCAGATTTCGCTATCGATATTGTTACACTGCCCTATACTTTAATGTGAGTAGGCTGAATAATTTTAAACGGTTTTGGAATGACATGCAGGATAAACATGGTACCTCGATAATATTAACATTTTGAGTGAGTTTTTTTTTTTTTTTTTTTTAGAAAAACGCACAAGATGAAATCTTGCCTTTAATGTTGGTTTTGTTGTGCAGTAGTTTTGTGCCTTTCTTGAATGGTAATTTTTATACCAGAGCCCCATGCACTGGGGGAAAAAAAAATCAATGTGGTTATTTTAACGTTTGCTGCAAACACTTTGTTGTTGAGTTAGGATAGTGGATCTTTTATACATGCATCGAGAATGTATTATGAACATTTATACATATTAAAAGCATATATTTTGCTCATATTTTATCCATGTTTCAAATTATATTTTTGTCAGACATCTGATTCGGAAATGTGTGGTCCTTTATGGCCCACCAGTAGCACTTGTAGAAAAACTGGAGTCGCCTTTATCATTTTAAGTTGCTCATCACTGTACTACAGTATATTGAATGTACGCTGAAGGATAAAGTGCATCTATTGCTGCAAAACACTCCAAAGCTATCATCCAAGGCTACTGTGCAGTCAGGTGAGGACAGGGGCGGAATAAAGAGTGATGCGGACAGGTGCCGAAGCTGTCAGTGACACACCGTGCTCGCGGTGCACCTCCATAAGGTCTGTTCCACCTGTCTGTTAGGCTATCACCTGAGGCTCCTTCTCACCTTTGTGATATTAAAGAAGGATGCAGAGGTCACGATTTTCACGCTGAATCGTGATCCCATTTAAATGGCTGAAGGTGTCGCTAATGAAGGGTTGTTCCATGTATTGATCACCGCTATTGATTGTCTCCATTTCCAGCGCTTCCTCCCGAGTGTGCTCCGGGGGGTCATGAGGTCCTACAGAACCCATACCGCAGCACCACCTTCAGCTCCAGCTGGCTGCTGCAGTCATCGCTGCGGGACTTTGTCTGCGACCATTCCCTGACGCCAGGATGGTACCAGTTCCAAATCTTCAACAAGCCCGCCAGCATGCCCACCCGGTGTGTGGAGGTATAAATTCCCATCCGTCAAAATGCCAAGCAAAATGGCAGGCATATAGCTTCTTGAGACTTTTTCTGGGTCAACTTATGATAGACATGTCAATCAAGTCTCATGTCGCTATAAATGCTTTGGGGGCTGACTTTAAAGAAACAAACATTTGGGGAGTGGAGTGCACTTGAATGAAGCTTTGCCGCTTGTGATAGGTGAACCACTGCGGGACCCAGGCTCCGGTGTGGCTCTCCCTGGGAGAAGGCGAGTCGCTGCCGGGTCCTCTGGAACTTCGACATTTGACCGCCTGCGCCGCCTGGCAGTTGTTCCCCAGCAGCAGCAAGGAATGCTGCCTCTTCCGCATCCCGGTGTCCGTACGCAACTGTGGAGAATTCTACGTTTACTTGCTGCAGCCCACTCAGGGATGCATGGGTTACTGTGCACAAGGTACTCTACATCTGTAAATATGGCCACACAAAGAACGTACATCAACTAAATGGACAAAAGTAGGAGGCGGATCAACAAACCTCTTCAATTCAATATGACGAGACACCGTAATTTTTACAAGAAAAGGGTAGGAAGGTGTTTGGTTGGATATTTATTTGGGTGGTTGGTGGGTTAATTACTTGACGTTAGTTACTTGGCCGTTTGGTTAGTTTGTTGATTGGATGAAAACGTTCTTTGGATATTATTTGGATGTTAATGTGGTTCATGAATTTGTCGTTAGTTTTTTAAGATGATTAGTCGGTATGGGGCGGCCTGGTGAGCCAATGGTTAGTGCGTTGACCTCACAGTGCCGAGATCGTGGGTTCGATCCCAGCTCCGGCCTTCCTGTGTGGAGTTTGCATGTTGTCCCTGCGTGTTTTTTTTCCGGGTACTCCGGTTTCCTCCCAAATTCCCAAAACATGCATGTCAGGCTGATTGAGCGCTCTAAATTGTCCCTAGATGTGAGTGTGATGGTTGTTCGTCTGTGTGTCCTGCGATTGGATGGCAACCGGTTCAGGGTGTCCCCCGCCTTCGACCCGTAGACAGCTGGCATATGCTCTAGCACCCCCGCGACCCTTGTGAGAATAAAGCTGATTGGAAAATGGATGGATGGATGGATCGTTGGTATGGTGAAAAACTTGTGATTTGTGTGGATGGATGGACAATTTGTATGATAGTTTGGAATGTTGGATGACTGGGAAGATATAAGGTTGCTTATTTATTTACCGGTAAGTAGAAGGGTGTTTGGTTCGTTAAATGGTTTTAACTTGGTTAGTTTGTTTTTTGGATGGTTAATTGTTTGGATATTTAGTTGGATTGTTGGTTGCTTTACGAGTTGGTTGTTAGTTCCCTACTTGGTTGTTGGTTACTTAGTTAGTTAATAATTTACTGAGGACTACCATAGAGAACAATGGGCAGATGTACATGTATGTATCCATGGCCGTTCTTTCTTCTTCATTTCTATCAATCAGTCAAGCAGCCTGCCGCTCCGTCCAAGCTCGTGATCACTCCTGAGTGGACATCAGGTGGCGTGCATCTGAAGTGCAGCTTCTCCAGCAGCTCCAACAATTCCAGCAGCTCGCTGGGCCACGTGGTGGCCTGGTCCCGAGCCTCACCTCAGGGCAAGCGGGAGGAGCTCAAGCGGGAGACGACCATCCAGACGTGGGCCCTCATCGAGCTGGATGGCTTCAACCTCCGTCTGGGAGACAAGGTTAAGCCTCACTTCATCAAAAGAAAAATCAAAGAAGTCAATCAGTTTTGTCAAGTATTTTCTGAATGAATGTCTTTCTCTCAGATTCACTGCTCCGTCTACAGCTTCTTTTTGGACTCTCCGGATGTCCACGGTGCTTCAGTGGAAAGTCAAGAATTCTTTGCTGGGATTCGGGTACAATTCCGCATTTTTCATTCATCGACATTACTTTTGGGTTTTGACACATTTTTAGGGTTAGCAGATTAAGTCGATGAAGGTATTTAGCAGTATTTAGCAACTTTTACCGATGTTCAGGACCCTTTTTAAATGTAAAACATGGATGTAATGTTTGATTTTTTATGTAGACATGATACATTTTGTATATTTAATGCATTTTAGCCTACATTATTTGACAAAATAACTCATAATAATAACAATAATAACAATTGTATGAAACAATGAGAAAATGCACAACAAAACAAAGTTTTACATAGTATAGAAAGCTATAAACTGGATGTTGATATGTATTTGTGGACGGTATACGGACTTAGTTTTAAAATAGCAACTATATTTATAGTTTTATTGTTATTTTATACATTGATATTATTTATTTTGTAACCGTAAGTGCATATGAGCTGAGACTATTTTCTGCGCTAAGTGCAGCTGAGACCGGAGATGAGCATCCTGTCCGAGGACGGGAAGCTGTACGAGCTGATGATTGAGAGCACCGTTCCCGTCCCGTGTCTGCAAGAGTCGCCGTCATCATCGTCATCCTCCTCTTCTCAGTCAAGACGTTGCGCTATCTCCTTGACGCTCGGAACAAACAGCCATGGTGACCATACAAACACTTAGGAACCTGCAAGACTAGTACCATTTATTTAAATGTTACACATGACACACATAGCTTATTCTCTTGAGATAAGATGCATCAACTTTGATGAGCATCTCCTGCTTACTAATGATATGCAAGTGTGTATATCTATTTAATTAGATGTTTATGTATTCAATAATTTTATAAATTAGAATAATTTTTTAAATGTCATATTTTATGTATTTTACCTTGGTTCATTGGTTCATATAATTGTTTAGTTGTCCTTTGTTTTTTTTTAACATTATTTGCACATCATAAATAACATTCTGAGGAAAATCACAGGTGGTGCACTGGTTAGCGTGTCGGCCTCACAGTGTAGAGGTGCAGGGTTCGATTCCGACTCCGGCCTTCCTGTGTGGAGTTTGCATGTTCTCCCCGTGCCTGTGTGGATTTTCTCCGGGTACTCCGGTTTCCTCCCACATTCCAAAAATGTGCATGGCAGGTTAATCGAACACTCTAAATTCTCCCCAGGTGTGAGTGCAGATGGTTGTCCGTCTATGTGTGCCCTGCGATTGGCTGGCAACCAGTTCAGAGTGTCCCCCGCCTACTGATCAAAGACAGCTTGGATAGGCTTCAGCACGCCCCGCGACCCTTGTGAGGATAAGCGCATCAGAAAATGGGTGGATGGATAGATGCACTGTTCCAATCGCTTTCTTTGGTCCTTGAATACATTTCTTCCACCCATCCATTTTCTGAACTGTATTTTTTTTTCAATTCTCATTTATTATATTATGTTGTGGAATGTATCTTCATTTTCTTGAATTAGCTATTTCCATCCTGACATGTCCAGTATAATCCATATAAGTCCAGTACTGTAGTGCCTTCATGTCTGGGAAGTTGCTTAATTTCAAACCCTCAAGCAATTATCGATAATGTAACATGAAAATGTGAGTTATAGATGAGGCGGTGCTGGGCTCCGACGTGTCCCTGTCCTCGTGCTCAGTGGACTTAACCGGGGCTCCGTGCCAGGATGGCGTGTGTGGCCGTGCTGTGGTCCACTACACCGCGGTCACCGACTTCGTCAGAGATGGCGATCGGACCACTAACATCTCTGTCCGGCCCCTCGTCACCAGCAACTTTGTGTGGAACGGTTATGCGCCAGAGCCTGTTCAGGTAAATTAAATCAGGACGAGTTGACTGTCAAAAGTCAACACTTGCTGTACTCTTGAAACCACCGTTTATCAATCGCGCCTCTGCTGTATGTAACATTTCTACACCATTGTTTTTTAATGGTTATAACCCTAGACAGGTTGGTTCGAATATAGAGTGGCTTTGCATGTGTATCAAATTGTGCCACAACATGCCAGGCAGCATTGAGCTCGACTGGAATCCCCACGATGAGACCCGGTGGGAATTTTTTTAAGCAGGTATATTTTTCACAGCTCAAACAGGTAGGGATGTCGAAGCATAAGAAACAAGTTGACCAAGTGGCATCTATTTTTCAGTGGGGTGGCGTTTCACGCCCACAGCATGTAAGAGTGGAGATGAGGGCTTGATTTTTAACAATTTTGAAGGCCCATTTTATATAATAGGGCTTTTTTTTTTTAATAATTCAAATTTGCGGTGTGTTAAATTCAAAAGACATTTATTTTCAAGTTACAGGGACTTAAAATGTGTTCAGAAAATAAGGTGGTAAGATTCAAGCTATTCTGTTCTATATCAGGAATTTAAATGATGGATGGATTTTTTTTTTTTTGTAGATCAAAGTGCAGGATATACCTTCAGCGTACTGTTACTCCTTCACTGACCCTCACATCGTCACATTTGATGGCAGGTACTTCACTTTTTTTTCCAGCCATGACATTCGCAATACCATGAAAAATAAAATTTTTCCTCATTGGAAATAATCACTGAATCAGTTTCACTTCTTTACATTGTATTGAATGACCCCATTGCTGTCAGTAAAATGTTCTTGTAAAGAATAATCTTATAGAGTGCTAATAGAGTTGTGTCTTCCGCCTCACAGGCGCTACGACAATTACCAGGTGGGCACCTTCGTGCTGTACAGGAGTGCACGTTGGCCTTTTGAGGTACACGTGCGGCAGTGGGAGTGCGGGGGTGATGGGAGGGCGCCCACTACGTGTGCGTGCGGCGTGGCGGCCCGCGATGGCAACGACGTGGTCATTTTGGACATGTGCGACGGCGACTTCGGCCAAACCAAACCTCGCCTCTCAGTGAAGAAGCGAGAATTGCGCAAGAGCGGGGTGCGGATCCATGAGGCCTACCAGCGGCGCAAAATCACCGTGAGTGTCGGCACACTTGACACTCACTCACCTTTTGGGGGTTACTTTTTAAGCATTTAGAGAAACCATCCCATTGCTAATATACCGTAGTTTAAGACAGTCCAGTGTTCTGTCAGACAAAAAACAGATTGTTTCGGCTGATTTAACTGCCATGGCAACACACAGAGGCTGAAACCTGATGGGACAAAAAGTTGCCTTATGAAAACAAGTTTCGCACCCGGACATAAAATGATGCAAAGGGACCGATCTGGCCCATGAGCATTGAGTTTGACACCTGTGCTTTCCACCCTTACCACAGTTGACTTTCTCATCCGGAGCAATGGTACGTGCCGACGTGGCAGATTGGGGTCTGAGTCTGACGCTGAGGGCCCCCGGTTCAGACAGGGGCCACACTGAGGGTCTTTGCGGCACCTTCGACGGACGGCCCAACAATGACTTCCTTTCCTCAGCAGGAACTACAATGGAGGATTTGCAGGCTTTTATTTTTCATTGGAGGTCAGTGTGCCATGGAAGCACTCGTTTCCACCAAGCAGTATGATTCGGTTCGATACACAATGCCACTGTAAAGCGTCAGATCAAAACTGTACATTAACGAACTGTCCGTAGGATGCAGAATGGTTTTGTTGAGTTCACTACAGTACACAGTATTAGCCCTCGTTTCTACCAAACTGTGCGATGAACTCAGTTCAAGGTCTCAAAATGTCCAATACGTTTGTGGCTGTTGCCATCTTACGTACATCTCAATCTGAACCATACCATTGTGAACTGAATTGAATTGTAACGCTGAGTGTGAACGCATCTTTTTCCCTTCTGCTAGGCTCCGTCCGGGAAGCAGCCTGTTTGACACCGCACCACCACCATCATCGTCGCCTGCACGAAATTCTGGCATATTCTGTGACTGTCAATCATTTGCCCTAATTGGGGCAGCATCCATGGGTTCCCCGGACGAAACCTGTTCTCTCCATGGGAACTTGCGCTTCCCTGCCATCATCCCATCTTTGGACGTCACGGCCGAGTACATTGGCTCAGTAGAGGAACGACCAGCACAACCCTCCAGGGCTCCTCTATCCAAGCGGTGGGGCAGGTACACCCATCAATCCATCCCCAGCCCCCTACACCAAAGCCTCAACAAGTCTGACCTGGAGAGCTTCGCCTATTTCTTCTCCAAAGACCACGAACCCGACACTCGTGTAGACATTGATTTAACATGGCCGACGCCCTCCGGGTTGACTGAGAATGAGGCACAGGCTGAGTGTTGGGAAGCGGTCGCCAACTCCAGCCTGGCCCTGGGCTGCTTCGGTCTCCTCGGTGCCGACGTGGTTGGCGGCGCGGTGGAAATGTGTGTCAGCGACGTGCGGCTAAAGGACGAACGATCCTGGCTGGATGCTGTCCTGCCCCTGCTAGAGAACGAGTGCGAGAGGCGGCTGGTGGAGGAGGGCCTCGGGGGACTGCCCCACCGGGATCTCTGGGACCACCAAGACGCAGTGTCTGTGCTCAAGTGTCCCAATTTGTGCAACGGAAACGGGCAGTGTTCGGAGTGGGGATGTGTCTGCTTTCCCGGCTTTGGAGCCTACGACTGCAGCATCTTGTCTGGTGAGGCAAAACACACTGAGGTGGGGGCTCTTGCACAGTCTGAACAATAATTGTATCAGAATGCCAACTGATAGAGTACCAAATAAGTACTGGTCTTAGCATTGATTGGATTTGTCATCTTTTGTGTGTGTGTGTGTGTGTGTGTGTGTGTGTGTGTGTGCGCGTGCGTGCGTGCGTGCGTGCGTGCGTGCGTGCGTGCGTGTGTGTGTTTCAGAGCACACTCCAGAGATCACGGATCTGGAGTCAGGAGGCCTATGCAACATTCGTGATGACGACTGCTCCAACATTCGCGTTTCAGGTGTCGGCTTCAAGGATGGCCATCAGCTCAAATGCGAGTTCGTCCAAGAAAAGGTACTTCCTGTTCGCTTCTTGTTTTTCTGCTATTTTCTGTGTCGAGATGAATGTCTTCTAATGTCTTGTTGACTTGCCATGAGTTGGTGGGAGGCAAGTGGCTTGTGGCCGAGCCTCATTTTGTCGCTGCCACCTTCATGGGTGTGACGGCCGTGGAGTGCCGCCTCCCTCTGGAAGTCGGTCGAGCCACTGCAGGCGTGGATGCATCCGGAGCGTTGACAAAGCGACCATTCCTGGCCCGCTGGCAGGTCAAGGTGAGGACAGACCTGGTTAATATTGTTGTTGTTGATGTTTGGGAGTTTTTTTTTTTCTTTTTTATATACCGGTATATATATTCCAGCGGCAGCATCACATCCTTTATTAAAATAGGCTAGAATGGAATGGAATATTGTGGATTTATTTTAAATTATTACATTTTAATAAAATAAAATAAATACATTCCATAAAAGTTAACAAATAATATACAATACATTAAAATAACACCAAGTAAAATCAAATGTTTAAAATAAAATAAGATCACATAAATTCGGGAAAAATAAAATTATGTTCAATAAAATGAAATGAAATGAAATATAACATAACATACAATAAATTAAAACATCAGGTAACTGCAAATAAAACAATGTAACAAAATAAAGTAGATTAAGGCAAAATTAAATCATGTAAAATACAATAAAATACACAAAACCTAAACTAAACCAAAATACAGTAAAATAATATGAAGTGAAATACAATAAAATGCAGTGTAAATTCCAATCAAGTCAAGTATTATACAATAAAATATGAGGAAATGAAATAAATTGAATACAACTTCATATAATACAATACACAGGATTCAAAATTACCGTAACCAAAATGAAGTGAAATTCTATAAAATGCAGTAAAGTCAGATAATATGCAGTAAAACTCAGCAAAATACAATAAAAGTTCAAAACAATAATATTGCACTCTGAATACGATGTAGTGTCTTCTGTTCCGGCCTCAAGTTTTTGGGATACCTGGGAAGCTTTACTGTACATCATGACTTTTACCCTGGAAATCGTTTTTTACTTCCTTGGTAACAGCATATGTGAATGTTTTCCCAACGATCACAAGTTTATCTGCATTCGTTTTCGTCAGGTGTCAAACGACGGTTACAGCTTCAGTAACGCTAAAGTCATCACCGTGTATGACGGAGCGTGTCACCTGTGTGGCCCCCAAGCCGACCCTCTCTGCACCCTCAGGGTAAGAACTTTTGAGCTCTTCTTTCAACTTACGGACTCTACTAACGTGTGACCTCACATGACCACTGCCAAGGAGAAGACGTGCAGCATCGATGGCGTCTGTTATGATGGAGGCCAGTCGCATCCCTTCAACCCTTGCCTGGCCTGTCGACCGAACGTCTCGCAGCATGACTGGACCGCCCGCCACGGTACGCCAGAATACAAACACACACACACACACACACACACACACACACACACACACACACACACGCACACACACACACACACGTTTGTGTACATCATCTAAAATATATTTGTGACATAAATTACAGTATACTAATATTGTGTACTAAAATGAACTAAAATAATTAGATAAAAAAACAAGTAAAATAAAGCAAATACAATCAGGTAAAGTAAAAAAAGTTCAATCAATCAGTTATATGATGTAAAAAAACATACAGTAAAATAAAAAAATGGTGGAAAAAATACAGTAAAGTAAGCTCAAATTAAAGCTGAGTTAAAAAAAAAAAAGATTAAAAAAAAAAGTCAAATATAAAAAAAATGTCAAATAAAGTTTGTCATTTGGACTTTTCTGCTTCTTCGTCGGTCAACAGAGAACGAACCCCCCACACTGGCACCCTTGCCCTCCCTCCTGTGGTCCTTCCAAGGGGAGGAGTTCATCTACCAGCTGCAGGCTCGGGACCCCGAGGGCTCACCGGTGGTCTTTGCTCTCCGTTCGGGTCCCGAGGGCGTGTCTTTGTCTCCGACTGGCCTTATCCGGTGGAAGGCCACGCCCCAGCAAACGCACACCTACAGCTTCGACTTTACCGTTACGGACAACTGCCATGCCGAGACCTCTGCTTCCTTGCATGTATGGCAGCCTAGCTTTACCACCTTTCCTATGCACTGACCACTCAAGCAATTCGTGCATATGAACTAGAGTCCTGTCATATCCTAAATACAATCGACATATGCAATCAGCATTTTACACATTACCGTATTTTTCAGACTATAACTCATACATTTTTTTTCGTCGTTACACTCGTCCTGTGACTTGTAGTCAATTGCGATTTGTACAATATATATTAAAATTAGAGCCTGGACAGCGACGCAAAATCCCTTTTCCGTTCACATTCGAACTTTTCATGCCCATTTTAAAAATGAAATGTTTTGACAACTGGCATTTGCTCGCAGGTGTTGGTGCGTCCATGCGAGTGTGCGAACGGCGGCTTGTGCGTAAGTGACGTCAACGCGCCCGCCGGCAGCAGTGAGTACACGTGTGCCTGCCCAAGCGGGTTCACAGGTCAGCGGTGCGAGGTGGACGTGGACGACTGCAAACCCAACCCCTGCAGGCTGGGACGCTGCGTGGACGGACCCGACTCCTTCACGTGCATCTGCCCACCCGGAATGACAGGTCACTTGACATAGGCCTGTCAAGAGACAAAATATTATGGCAAACGTGGAGTTGGAGTTGTTTTCACCACTTGCAATTAACTCCAGGGGATTCCGGCTGTGGGACTACATAGCGTTTCACTTTTTGCAGCTTTACTGCCCAGATACGATTGCAATTATTTGCTGTATCTCAGGATTGTGCAAAGATTATTTTTCCACATGGAGTGTTTCGGTAGAGTGGCTAAAGGTTCAGCCAGTTATCAGCCAACATTTTCATTTGCTGACTTCTCCGTCACTCAACTGGCCATGGCCGCCTTTTAAAGGTGCACACACATTCAACGTCACAGATACTACAATGTCGAAAGTGAGGATTGCAACACCAAGTGGTCAAAAGTAATACTGCACCTCAAATTCATATATTGTGTTATCATATGACAGGTCTAGGGTGAACACGCCTAAATTTAGTTGGCATAGCCTCCAGCACACGTGTGAAAATAGATGGATATATTATTGTATTTTTAGATTTTGCTTGTTTGCTTGTTTAAGTTGTGACGTCAGCATGTGGTGGGTGTGCTCAGGTGGAACGTGTCGAGAGGACGTGGACGAGTGCGTTTCTAGTCCGTGCTACCCCGGAGTGGACTGCATCAATACTCTGGGCTCCTTCTCCTGCGGACTCTGCCCACGTGGATATGCCGGTGATGGCATCGCTTGCATTCGTGAGTCCTCTTGGATTTTATTTTAAACATTATTAATTTAATTATATTCGTGTGAGACTGGTTCGCACGTCTGCCTCACAGTGCAGCGGCGCATGGTTCAATTCTGGCTCGGCCTTCCTGTGTGGAGTTTGCGTGTTCTCCCTATGCCTGCGTGGGTTTTCTCCGGGTATTCCAGTTTCTTCCCATATTCCAAAAACATGCATGGCGGGTTCATGGAAAACTCTAAATTAACCCTCATTGTGATTGTGATCGTCTAAGTGTGCCCTGAAATTAGCTGGCAACCAGTTCAGGGAGTATCTCACTTACTGCCGGAAGACAGACGGGATAGGCTCCAGCCCACCCATGACGTGTGGATAAGCACATTAGAAAATGGATGGATATTAGCATTATTGTAATGACTCATTCTTTTTTTTTTTTAATTAATTGATATTTTAGTTTCTGAAATTCTTTTAGCCTTTAAAGGGACTGTGATACCGGCAAGCATGACGCCCTTACCCCCAAGACCCCGAGCCCCGCCGCCATCGCCCTGCTCCCAAAGGCCTTGCCACCCTGGTGTCCAATGTTTCCCAAGCCCCCATGTGGCGGCAGGCTTTGTCTGTGGACCCTGCCCACTTGGTCTCCAGGGCAACGGGACCGCTTGCACGCCATCAGGTGAGGATGCAATTCGATTTGTTTTGATTGGATTATATTTGGTTTTATTTTAATTACAATATATTTTGTTTTATTTGATTTAGTAGAATAGCACAGATGAGGTAACTTGCATTAAATATAATTCGAATCTCATGGTCTCCATGGAAATGGGGTGATAGATTGATTATTTTAGTTATTATACATTCGCTTATTATTAATGTAACCTGACATGGGGTGACTTGGATGACAGCAGGGTAAAAGAAGTCAAATATACTACAATCAAATGTTATGAAGTTAATTCAGTTCAATTAAATGAAATTAAAAAGAAACTTCATTGAATTAAACCGAATGAATATCTTTGCCACCTCCCATTTCACATAAATTTTAATATACATCTCAAATCATGAGGGGGTGCACACTTACGCCACTGCATTATCTCAGTTGTTTGGCTATTGTGCTTTCTTTTCAAGTCATCTTTTCTAACTTGCAGTGTTTTGCAGGACAGGCGAGCGTCGCTGCTGAACAAATTCCCATCAGCAGAATGAATTCAGGCAGGGAGATGATGCGTACCACCTTCTCCTCATTTTCATCATCCCCCACCTTACCCAGGCGGTCCCTCGACAGAAGCAAGAGACCAGGCGACACCGTTGCCAACCCACGCAGAGCTTCTTCGTCTTATTTGGACAGAAGCCCCGGACCCTGCCCGTACGGATATACGGGCGATGGAGTAACGTGCAAAGGTAGGCTCGCCATAAAGCAGGGGGCCACAGAATTAAAACAGAAACAATAAAATGTTTTTTTTTGTTGTTTTTTTTTTTGTGGAGTATATACCTACAAACTTTTTTTAATTATTGAATTAAGAATGTATGGCACATTCAAGTTTGGCACCCGTGGATTTGCATATTTGCTGATTTCTTTTTCTTTTTTTAACCCCAATATATATATATATTTTTTATACTTTCTATTTTTAAAAATATCCAGGATTTTTTTTTTCCCATTTCCCCCTTTTTTTTTGGAAAACATATTTTGGATGTTTATCAGTTTTGAGGGTTGGGAAAAAAGAATGTATTCATTTATTTATCAATCAATCGATCCGCCCTAAGCTCCCCTTTGCCCATCCCTGCAAGAGAGAGTGCCTACTTACCACTCCCTATCACTGCTCTAATGGATAAGGAACAATTTCAAACATAGTACCCCTTGTGAGTGAAGCCACCATTTTGCTGTTGTCCAGCTGTGTGTCGGTTTCAATGCGGGAGGAACATGGAGTGCACGCAGCCCAACACGTGCACCTGCAAGGAGGGATACACCGGATACAACTGTCACATGGGTAAGTGACACACAGACAGCGTGGAGGCCCCCCCCGCCAAAAAAAAAAAAAAAGTTCATCTCAACTGCATACTCCATTGTCGAATGATACATCTTTTTATTTGAGTGTGAGTTGGTGAGGACTTTTTCGAATCATTCATGGACTGACGACATCTTCCTGAAGTGAACCTCTTCAACTATTAATTGAGGAGCTCTTTTCTATGTTTCGTACATGCCACCCAAGCCGTGTGCCGACCAGATTGCAAGAACCAGGGCAGATGTGTGCGTCCTAATGTGTGCGAATGCCCCCTAGGCTATGGTGGCCCCACCTGTGAAGAAGGTAACAAGCCAACATCACAACACGTGTGTTTCTGAAATCTTTTTATATTTCTGTCTTTTTGCTTTTTTATTTTTTTGGGGGGCATCCGAACAGCAAGCTGTGAGCCACCGTGCCAACACGGAGGCACGTGTCTTGCCAGGAACCTTTGTACATGCTCCTACGGCTACGTGGGACCAAGATGTCAAATCTGTGAGATATTATTCTTTTGGTTATTATTTTCCTGTCTTGCATTTGGGAGGAAAAATGCAATTGTATTCATGTCAGGGCAGCTTATATCTAATGTTGTGCCTTTTTGAGGTAGTAAAATTATAAGTAAGTAAAAGTATTTTAGCAATATTCCAATTTTTTTTTATTATTAAATTATAATTTTATTCTCATTAATTTACGTTATTCTCAAAATACCCCCCCACTAAAATACTTTCCTGGGAAAATTACATCTACTATTCTTGGAAAATAAGAGACTTTATTCTGTAATTTTGAGAGGGTAGAATTATAATAATGCTGTTTCATCATAATTCATAAACCATTTAAAATGACTGTGTCAAATGTGTGTCAGTGGTCTGTAACAGGCACTGTGAAAATGGCGGCGAGTGTGTTTCTCCCGACGTGTGCAAATGTAAACCAGGCTGGAATGGTCCAACCTGCAACTCAGGTATGATGCAACACAACCCATAGCCGGTATTTTTATTTTGATCATAATAATAATATGAAATAGTGAAGTCATTGTGTGCGTGTGTGTGTGTGTGCATAGCTGAATGTAATCCGGTGTGTCTGAATGGAGGAACGTGCATCAAACCAAACGTGTGCACTTGTCCCGCCGGATTCTACGGCTCGCAGTGTCAAATTGGTGAGAAAGAAAATTCCTTTTTTTCACCTGGTATTTTGACTTTTTATCTTATAAAATTACATCTTTATATTCTGAATATTAGTTTTTTCTCAAAATTACAACTTTTTCAATTGTGGAAATTATGACTTAAACACCCATTTTTTCATTATTTGTTAATGGATATTAAATAAAAGAAATGTTTTTTTATGATAGATTCTCTCCGTTCTTTCATCTTTGGACTTGTGGTAAAAATGACAGAACCCCTCCCCCCCAATTAAATTACAATGTAATGACATTGTTTTTATGTGTTTTTCCATAGTAAAATTAAAGGTTTATTCTCATAAAATGTCGTTATTGTCTTCATACTTTTATACTTTCCTAATACAGTATTGTGTATTTTTTTTGTGTTTGGATGACACTTTTTTCCTTATAAAATGTAATGTTTGGAAATGCAAAAAAAAAAAAAAAAATCACAATTTATACTTTTACTGTGGTTTTATTATTTCAATGCACAATATCGGTGAGTGTGTTTGTGTGTTAGCCGTATGCAGTCCACCTTGCAAGAATGGAGGTCAGTGCAGGCGAAACAACGTGTGTTCTTGTCCTGAAGGCTACACGGGGAAACGATGTCAAAAGAGTGAGTCTTTCTCACACACACACACACACACACACACACACACACACACACACACACACACACACACACACACACACATGCTTATTATACACAAACGCTAAAAAAAAAACGTGACTATGTTTGTGTGTCTGTGTCGCAGGCGTGTGCGAGCCCACATGTATGAACAAAGGCAAATGTGTGGGGGCCAACACGTGCTCGTGTACGTCTGGCTGGAGGGGAAACAGATGTAACATACGTACGTACGCTAACTTCTTTCTTCTTTCAATATTGTGACCACCACCTCAAAACTAGTACCGGTACTATTTCACCACTAATACTAACTGCTACTATTACGACACAGCTATTCCTTCTAAGTAATATGATCACTCCAACTCTTGCTTCGACGAATAAGTCAACTCAATTTTATTCCTAATGCACTTTCAAGAAAAATAACCGTGGCTGCAACAAAGTGCTTTGCATCATGAAAATGGAACATAAATCATTCCAACTACTACGAATACTACGACGACTACTACTTGTACAAACGCTGAGTGTTTTGTCGTCTTAGCCGTGTGCCTACAGAAGTGTAAAAATGGCGGTGAGTGTGTGGGGCCCAACACATGCCACTGTCCCACTGGCTGGGAGGGTCTGCACTGTCAGACATGTGAGTCACATACAGTACATTGCGTTGATATATTAGCGTTTTCTAATCATAATCACTGACATTTGCTGTGCGCTGTACATATAGCGGTGTGCAGACAGCGCTGCCTAAACGGGGGGCGCTGCGTGCTGCCCGACTACTGCCACTGTCGGAGGGGATACAAGGGCCTGACGTGCGCCATTCAGGTCGGTGCCAGATAGTAGAAAAGTGGCGGGTGGGTTCGAGCCATCTCATCTCAATGTACCTTTGTGTGTTTTGCAGGTCTCGCAAGCGTGATGCAAAATGAAGTCAAAGGATATTGTGAGGGTGGGTGTATATTGTGTGTATATATTATTACAATGGCGCTGCTTAGAGGAGACTTGATGTGTTTCTTTTGTCTTTTTTGGTCCCCTTTCCGGTCCTCTACCTCAAAGCTTTCTTTTGTCACATTAGGTCTTGCACATTAGTTGCGGATTCCGCCTTTTAACTCATTCGCTGACAGCCGTTCTCAAATCTGTTTCCCATGTTGCCAGCCATTTCAGAGCTTTTTGACTGATCTTTACAAAGTCACAGACTAACATTTTCTATGATTTTTTTCCCCCTTTTGTTTGAATGATTTTTTTGTTTTTAAGCACAACATGCAGTTTAGAGAGTTCACTTCATTTAATGACACAAAATACAGTTCATAAACAGAAACACAAAGCAAGCAGTGTTTGTACAATAATAATGAGAATAAATGAGAACAAAGTAAAGTGGCCTCTCGGGCCCTAGAAGCGCCTCTTCCTCTCCTCGCAGCGAGGGCCCAAGAAGGGGGGACGGCAGCGACATTTGTTGGGGGAAATGCATTTTCCTCCATTCAGGCACGGCTGAGCGCACTCGGCTGCAACACACATCAACAAAATAGGTGACCTATTGAATCGTGGAGATCCCATGAGAAAAGTATTTTGGGTGGTGCGGTATGGAGAAGCCATGAAGGTATACCGGCGATTAACAGTGAACTGCGAACATGTGCGCGCGGGAGCCTTGAATTCGTTAAAACACCTGCGTTTTTTTCTAGCTGAAGGTTTTGGAATACTCCTACCTGATAGGATTGTGACATGTACAAGCAGTTGGCTCGTGCAGATCAAAGTATTCAGAAACTAAAAAGAAGACACCTCGCCGATTCAGAAGTTGGAATAGTAAACGCTATTGGCCTCACCGAATTTGGTGAGTGATGATTTCAATAATCTCGGGTACTTTTAAGCTACACAGGAGCTCTGTTGATGATCTTAACGTTGGCTTTAGCTCATACATCACCAGAAGAATTGCATCATCGATGCGTCACATGCGTTAACATGGCAAAACTTGAAGACATAATGTGTCTATCCCAACAAGCTACTGGTAGAAAATTGTTGGGGCTACCTAGTTTGTATAGCTAATGAAAAATCACAAAAAAATAAACAATGATAATTGGTAGTGCTTCTTCACAAAAGCTCCTCAACTAACTTTCAGGACAATGTTAACTTTTCATCTTCGCCAACTTTGAGATTGATTAGCTAGCTAACAATGTCCCTTTTTTGAATCCCAATATGCTTGAGTCTCCACAATTTCAGGGTTATTCAACATCCTGGCAATATGTTTTCCTCTACTCCAAACCTAACAGCATCAGCATCAGCTGTAGCCACAGTTTTGCTCACTCTGGTTACATGACCGGCTCCAGAAAATAGAGTCACATAACACGCAGTTGGAGGAAGCTTAATAAATCACCAATGGTCCCTGGAAAAGCAATATATCCCATGGTGCATTGTGCCGTCATGTTATGGCCGTTACTGTTTGGAATCAGTGTGCTTTCGAGCTTACCGATGTGGCAGGCACCTCCCAGCCAGCCTTCGGGACAGCTGCAGATTCCAGGGGCCATGCAGAGGCCGCCGTTTCTGCAGCCTTGCGGGCAAATGGCTGTTGGGGAACACACCAGAGAAGCATGATTCGCAGCAGAAATGTATCGTCTGTACAGTGAACCCCAGTTTATCGCAGGGGGGATATTTTCTAGTCTCCCTTGTGATAGGTGAAAATCTGTTATTAAAAGAGACCATATTAAAACATTGTAAAAGCCCTCCCACATGCTTTATATATGGCCCAAGCTTATTAAAAGACATTTAAATTCTTCCTCTGTGTTCACGGTCACTTTGGTATGATGCACAGGTCTCAAAATAAGAGCGTAGTGTGCTTGCTTTAAGATAGTCACTCCCAGTTGAAGTGTAGATATAAGTGACATATAAAACAAAAGAGAACTCAACATTGTACATTCAATCAAACCAAATTATCTTTTAACTTAATGCTAACATGTAACAGGCTAATGAACAGTAACATGTTATGGTAAATATAAACCTTCAAACAACTGCTATTTTAACACACACACAGAGTGGCAAAAGAGATAAAGAGGGCGTACAACAATATTTTCAGGCTCACAGTACATTCTCTCTGTTCTGTAGGGAAAAAAAACACAATTTGTGTAGTTTAGTTGGGGACTTTCTCTTGATGCTTACTGTTGTGGCACAAAATGCAACGGCAATGAACCCTAAATTGAAACTTTTATACGCACTGGAAAAAACACATAAAATCAATTGTTTAAAAAAATCTGCAACACAGCTGGGATGCAAACGATGAACAGTGATATAGTGGGTTTCACTGTATTTTAATACATCATTCCTCCTTTTCTATGTGGCAACACTGAGATCAGTTGACTGAATGCTGGCCTGTGGATCCAGCTGAGGAAGTAAGCCCCCCCCCCCGACCCCCACCCCTCCCTCTCTCACTCCTCTAACCACTGCTGAGCACCATTTGCTGCCGGTGAGCCAAGGTGCTAATGTAATTGGACGTGGGCCCATTTAAAAAAAACACCAACCCTCTTGGCATTTGGAGCCCGTCCAGCTGGAGGGACAGATGCACTTGGCTACTCCGTTGACAGCGTTGCATTCGCCTCCGTTCCAGCAGCCATCATCACATGTCACTGCACACACAAACAACACAAAACCCAAACAATATTCGGACAACGTAATTTTGTGCGCGCGTGACAATTTATAATGTAAAATTATTACCTTTGTGACAATATCTCCCTCCAAAGCCTGCAGGACATCTGCATTTCCCGGGACGAAGACACACACCTCCGTTTTTACATTTAGGATAGCAGTTGACTGCGTACACACAATCGATAACAAATTAAATTATGTTTTTTCATTAAAAATAAATTCTATGATATGCACCCCCTAAAGTGACATGAAGGAAAAATATTTAAATATGCTTATCATGAGGATGAGAAAAGTAGTCCATCACTTTAGTGGCTCTGTACGTTTTAAAAGCGAAAATATATGTATTGAAAATAAGTGTGTGAAAATAAACTTTTTTTTTTCAAATTAAAACATATACAGGTGTCAATTAGAAGCAGATCACGGAGGTACAGTTTTTTCCCTCACCATACTGGCAGTTGTCCCCCTCGTAGCCACGGCTGCACAGGCAAGTGTCGTTGCGGATGCATACTCCCGCGTGCTGGCACGGCGGCTCGCATGTTGCCTTCGGGTCAAAAACGAAGCCCAGGACCACCCCGCGAGGAGCGTCCGAGCGTGCCCAGCATCGGCTGCAACACAGCCCGCACAACACCACCGCCAGAAGCAAAGCCGCAGTGGCTGATCCCGGTCCCCCGAAAAAGCCCATGACTGACTCAGAGGGAGCAAAAAATGTTCACTAATGGAGGAATTCCACCGGTAAGCTCACGGCTGCCCGGTAGCACGCCCGGAGACAAGCGGGAGGTCAGTGCGGGGGAGGCGGGCGTGGCTGGCTAGCGGGGAGGGTCCTCGGTAGGGGGGGGGGGGCGACTTTGACCGTAAACGTTAACATTTTCATAACATTTCAACTTTAAAGCACTTGTACAATAAAATTAATGTTATCAAATTAAAGTTAACTGTCACTGCCGCCGTTACTTGGCCTCTTAGCTGGCTAGTTGTCTATGTTAGCTTCAACTTTGAACACGCATTAGCATTTGATGTCAATAACGTCAGTATTTAACAGTAATATTTCGACCTGACTAGTTTAAGATTCACATTTTGTCAACCCTGAAACTTAAGATGCTATTAAATTGATTAAAATTAACTTTGAATGGCCCCGTTAAATGGCCTCTTAGCTGTTAGCATGAGCATTTAATTTCGTTCACGCCACTATTTCTAGTCGCAATTTGACAAGTGGCAGCTGTCTTTGTGGATTTTTTTCTTCAAAAAAATGGGATGGGTACATCAGAAGCATCTAAAATCTACCATCGCAAATACACACACTCATTACTCATTCAAACAAACACAATCCGGCAGCACAACTAAGCAACCAAAATGGAGGAGAGCGACTAAGCCTTCTTCATCATTTCTTTGCCCTACACAAAAGTTTCATTTTTTTCTCATACATTTTCACAATATTTTATGCTGTATCTTCCTGCGTGTCTATCATCTATTTTTTTAACCCTTAAATCAAAGAATACAATGTACATTTGTCAAAACAGTCCCAAGGTCCCAACTGTTATTTTGGCACCCTTTATTCAACATTTCAGACGTCCGAAAATGTTTTTCAGTCTGACTTGGTGTTGTGAAGGATGTCACAAGTAGGAAAAAAACAGTTTATGCAGACAAGCGCACATGTGGAAAAGTCATTTGCAAATGCACAGGGAAAGGAAACGTTGAGCCTATATGACCTGCTGGAGGAGGTCAGCTGGAGTGGAAACAACGCAGTCAATGGGGGAATGTTGGGTCACTCTATGCATTTTTTAAACTGAAAATTTATTTCATTTTTTTTAAATGTGTCATTTGTTCATATGACAAAGGTTTGCAGACCGAAAAACGCTATTTTTAAAAAAAAAATATTGGTCTCTATATTGCAGATTTTCACCTAGCACGAGTGGGTGTGGAACGTTCACTGTATTTGCAGTTGCTGTTTAAGGAAAATTAAGTTTTAGGCTAAAACTTCATTTTGTCTAGGATAAAACTTTTAGCCTAGACACATTTTTTTTTGCGTCCGTGTATTTCCGTGCTGCAGAGTTGTCTGTCGAACAGGAAGTGAGCCGGACGGCGTTTTGACGAGCCTAACAGATGCGAACATACCGCGAAGCTCTGGAGACGTCTGGCGTGGTTTCTAGGTCGAGGGAGTCGTCGGAATAACTTGGACGTAGTGGCATGTAAATACCACTGCGAGTATGAATACATATCATAAATAAGGTTATGTGTGCATTCACGTTGCCATGCATTGTTAACTAGACATTTTGGAAAAACACGCTAAGTGCTGAAGCCGCAAAACATGAAGCGCGAAGTGGCGAGGGATTAATGTACCCTTCTTGATGTTTTGAAGGGGAATGAGTGAATTATCAATGAAAGAATCATTTGGCGGTATAGAACGCCACCTGGAGTCCACAGAGATTATAACAGAAATGACAAAACCTTTTTATTTGGGCCTTCCAGCTTGCAAAACTCAAAATGTACTCTCTATTTTTGCTTTTCTTTTTAAACACAAATTTATTAATCCAATTAAAGTATATTTAACAACAAGATATCGCAAGTTACATAGAGCAGGGTCAAGGAAGGAAGCCACCACATAAAAAAAATAAAGACAAAATGCATCCACAGTTCAGTTCAAAATTCAGCTCCAAGAATGCCTCGTGACCTTAAATACCCCTTTCTAGTTTAAATGTAAAAATATCAGATTGTCATTATAAATATATTTTACTGCAATCACGTTTGTGTTAAAATCACACTCTAAGGAAATGCTAAAACAGTTGAAATAATACAAAATAAACTACAAGGGCAGAGACAAAACACATGCCAAAACACAGCAAAATAAACAGTCCATGTTGCACTTAAGGAAAAACACACAAAAACATCTGCGATGTCAACTTAACTGAAGTACCTTTCTCCATTCACGGACTTTTGAGTTCAAAGCTAAAATATTTCAAAAGTCGGGATTTGGTGAGTTTGAACAAGTACCTTTCAGAGGTGACAGTGCCGTGGGGTTTAGTGGTCCAGACCAGCTGACAAAAACATGCCATGGTGTGAACTGTGCAAGCTTATTAAAACACATTTTTCTTGTTAAAATAACCGTTAGTTTTTTAACTAAAAGTGTTTTACTCGGCCTGACCACACTGTTAATGGCAAACAAGCAGCCGTAAGGTCGATGTTTTATTGAAGACATCCCCACGGCTGTTTAATTGAGGAAGAAAGCACCAAATAGCTAGTGCTTCACCTTTCCTAGTAAGATTAGGTTGGACTTTTGTTGTTCTCTTAGAAGACCTGCACATAACCGTGCAGGTACGTGGTGTTCCCTCCGCAGTCCACATACTGATACATCTCCTGGGACACCTGCTCGGCGTGGCCAAAGTACGACGTGGTCACGGTAACCCTGGTTAAAGAAAGGGACAAATAAATAAATGTTTAAAAATCATCCTTCAGTCCACAGCAAGGTTATTATAGCTAATGAAATAAACTACAATTTGAAAAAAATGTATACATTTGTGAACACATTGAAATAAAAATGCTTTTCAAATATGAAAATTAACTGAAACAAGTCTGTACGTTTTTAAAACTAACTGTAGCTATAATTTAAGGGACAATGTCATTTGTTTTTATCTTTCTCAAATAACATCATAATGATTCAGAGTTGATTATAAATGTAGTTATTTGGGTATTGCTGTACATCTGTACAACAGTCATTGGAGAATTGTAGTTTACTTAACTTTATTACACAATACTTAGTGACCTCAACAAATACTCCCTAATGTATAAAAAAAATATATATATAAATAAAAACGGATCAAAAACAAAAGCCAAAAAAGTAAAATCGAATAAACCTGCTCTAAAAACGAATTGAAAGAAACTGAATTTTAAAAAACCTAAGAGAGAACGAAATAAAAATGAACTACACCGAAAAATCCAAAATTGTTAACCCTGATCCACAGAAACATATTTCCAAAAAAGCTCAGAAGTTGCTTTTCTCAAACACCCGTGTCATGTGAATTGAGAGGGGAAATTGATCTGAACAAGTCCGACTTGGCAGCCAGCGTGTGGACTGAGGCTTTGGGTTGGCATGGCCTCATTAGAGCGCCTGGTTGTCACGGTGTGGAAAATCACGGCGATGACACAATCTGATATATTCTATCCACCGAAGGACTTAAGATAATAGATTTTCACTGCCCAAATATATAGTTTTGTGTTGGCATAAGAAACATGGCAGATGATGTCGCATCCATTTTTCCAGGATTGGTAATGGTATTTGATTGACAACTGAAGTGTGGTCTGGTTTGAGCACATTCAGCAGACTTGTGCGCAGCTTCGGAAAATAGAGAAAGCAGTTTGGCTTTTCACAATATCTTAGTTGACAGTCCAACAGCTATCAAAAGTACAGTATGTTCAAGTCCTACTTACTGCATCGTGACCACCATGTTGTGCACTCTGATGGACTGCAGCGTGCAGTAGTCGCTGTGGACAGTGAGACAAAACCTCAGCAAGTTTTGACAAAAATTCATATTGCACAGAGTAATGCACTTTGAGGAACATCAACTTACAACATATTTAACTCCTCTGAAATCACAGTGGGAATTGTGTAGTCAATCTGTAAAACACAAACACAGATTTTTTTTTTAAACTTGTGGTTGAAAGGTGAGCAGTTTAGAAATGTTAGTGGTTTTTTTTTTCCTTTAGCAATTTACTCAAAGTCTAAAATTTGCAGAATCCGATCTGCTATCCGTGTATAAGGCTGCGCTGTACTAACATTGATTGTTGTTTTGGACTACTACAGGGCGGTAGAGGCTCATTTTTGACTTGGACCATGTTAGTCATTCATATGATATCTTTCAGATCTCAGAAGTCTCATATTGACAGGGGAATGTGCCTCTTATGGGTTAGGCTTTTTCTTTACCACGCAGTTTGAATGGGGGATGTGTGTGCTGCAAAGAAGATGCTACGAGAAGTAAACTGTGACCGTAATTTACAAGTTTTTGCTAAGTTTATTAAAAAAAAAAAAATCTGACGTATCTAACATGGTCATTGAGGAGCTGGCTGACTAATTTATGATCTAGAAGTAAATTGAATGGCGTAACCTGGGTCATGGTAGATGTAGCACAAAGCTAGCATAATACTGTAGCATGATTTGTAAATGAGCCTGGCGTAACACTGAGTGGTTCTTTTGGTGACTGATGCTTTTTTTATTTAGAATTTATTACGCTACATTACGTAGTCTAATTCTTTGTTATCGAGAAAGACTGCTTGCTTGAGTATGACTTTTCACGCTGTCGTCTACTCAGCCACTCAGGCATATTGTGTTATGTGTTACAATGTGTTTGGAATGTGATTTTAAAAATGTGTGTTTTAACATGTTCACATGTGTTTGAATGTGGGGGGAAAAAAAAGTTCAGTATAGTCTCCATTACAGATTTTTAACTATCAGTCGAAAACATATGCTCTTCATAAACCGGACTGGACCACTTTTGCTGTGCTTAAAGAAAACCGGTACAAACCTGTTGCTGGTCCAGAGGTACGATGACAGTACTGTTGTTGATCTTGGCCTTGCCGATCACTGTCTTGGCGAACTCCACTTGGGCGGTGATGTTGGTTACCGTTATGGCATAATAGTTGTTATTTATGATGTTGAGAGTATTCTGGATGGAAGAGGACAATGTATATGTGTGAAATTATTGCTATAACGCCACAACACTCACTGATGACTGATGTTTGATGGGTAGACAGTCTCTGTGTTAACTTGAGCTGAACACAATTGCTAGGAAACAGTTGCTAATGTATAAAAACAAATCTTCAAATGCTCACTGCTTTAATAATTTGGTTAAAATTTGCAGTATTGTGTCGTCGACATTCTTTGGCCAAAAGTACCGGTAATACAAATACAAGTTCATCTAGGTTGTACTCCTAACGCCATGTCCACATGTGCTAGTCTGTGTGTCGTGTGTTCATGTGTGCCTGTTGGCTGAGTTTTTTTTTCCCCAAACCATCCTGTGCTCGCCTTTAAGGAGCTTAGTCTGGGGTTGTCTTTTATTCCTCCCCTTCCTTCTGTTTTTTTTTTCTTTTCGTCTTCGAAAATGGGTCGCTGTAAAAGGCAACCCGGTGGACTCTGGTACTGTTGGTCATTGTTTTTCTGCCTCTTGGACAGATTGTGTCTGTTCCATTTCGTTGCACCTTGTAGTGCAATGACAATTAAGCTATTCTGATTGTGGAATGTGATTGATGAAAGTGAAAAGGAATTATTTGCGGTAACGTTTGGAAAACCAGGATGACAATGATGATTTCCTGAACAATTGGTTCAAATTTGATAAATTCCTGCGCAGTGGTGGGGCATCATTCAAAGCTTTAATTCAACGGCTTTTAACGAAAAAGAAGAATCAAATAGAGTGCAAGGCAGCAGAGCTGGGCAATCTTACTGTAATATTGAGATAGATGATATGCTTCTCGTAATCGTAGCCCACATAGGCTGACTTCACGCCCACGTAGTCGACGTTGATGGTGCGAGGGAACAGGAAGAAGACGGCAAGGCTGGACAGCAGTAGGCACAGGCACACCGAGATGGTCACATAAAGCTTTCTGCATGTCAGACAAAACAGAAGTGAGGAAAAGCCAACAAACGTGTTCGTTTGTCAGTACAAAAGCACTCACGTCCTACTTGGCCTCAGCCTTTGGTCGCTGTAGGGGATCAGAGCCACCAGCTGATTCTCCTGACCTGGTCAATGAGAAAGAAAACAATGAAAGCAGTTATCGGACAGCAGAGGTAGGCAGACCATTGTATATGATGTGCAGCGAACCTCTGTTCTATATATCGTCGTGCAGCGGTCACCTGTTGTGAATTTGCCATTCAGCTCCTTGAACGGTTGAACAAGTTCAAGTTCAGCTTTGTAGCTTGCAGGTATGTCACGGGTGCCGCTCCACTCACGGCCGTGCTTTGCCATGAAAGCGCACGCTTGCACTTTCAGGTCGCAGACACGGTCAGCCATTGATGCTAGTGCATTTTTTGTTGTTGTTGTCGGGGCCCCGTGTGTGGCTTCTGACAGGTGGCGGAACAGTATTTATTTTTTATTTTTTTTACTGTTACTACCATACTGATTAAAAAATATCTATCTGGCATATGACGCACATGCATGTACCTGGCTGTTTAATTTTTTTGATTAATAGGGAAGGCCATTTTGTCTTCTCAAGTCATGCCCATCTCTATATCATTTTTGACTCCAGTATCAGTGTTTCCCAATGCCGCACCTTCCTCCACAAAATGTGTGGCCATAATTGCCGGGTAATTTTAATCTGAGCTGCTAGCCAAGTTAGCTATAAAGCTGCAACTCCAAACACTTCCCGCAGCACCGACATATTCCATCTGTCAGGACAGCTTTATTGGAACGAGGTGCAACAACAACAGTGCATGTAACTGTGTATAATTGACATTTTCGATTAAATAAATGGAACAATTTCACTGTCAAAGCCTGTTTTTTTTTTCTTCTTCTTAATTTTACCAAATGACGGAATTCCGTCATGTCGAACAGAGGTATTTTAAGGCCTGATAATAATTCTATCATGTCGAACAGAGGTATTTTAAGGCCTGATAATAATACGGTCTAACTAGCGATAGTGGGCTATATTTTAAAAGAAGCTAACATTGATACATTGCCTTGTGTAGGCAATCGTAAATGAGCTGCTATGGTCTAAATTGCATGTTCCTTGTGAAGTGTGAAATGATTCCCAAACCATGAACATTGTGTCTTTTATTTGTTCTTTCGAGCTGGCTCACCACCATTTTGCCATCTTATTTCCACAGAGTGCTGAGTGCAACTTTCAGTCATATTATTTTGTGTGTAAAAATGGGTACTTCGAAGCTGCGAGGCAGAGATTCTATTTTGACCTTATTTGTAATCAAATTATTCAAACTATTTGATTATTTACTGTTAACCTAGGAAGTAAGAATGATGGATTGGTTGAATGCACTCAAGAGTAAGTTTGGAATAGAGATATTTTTTTACCTCGTGGGATGCGACCGGTGCCCTGGCATGTGGGACAGGTCACGCTGTCCCGTCCGGTGAACTCCACATAGGGAAACTGCGACACATCGCCGTTCTTTGCGTCCTGTGCTGGCGTCTCATCGTACTCGTCCGTGTTTGGCATCAATCCCTCCTGAGTGTCCTCTTTGTGCCTGGCCAGCAATGACTGGGACTTCCCCATAGCTGACGACCTCACTATGTAATAGCACACAAAAAACAAATGCACATTTGTGGCAAATGTGCTACAAATAAGTTGATTAGTGAACTATGCCCGTGAAAATGGAGGCTAGTGTTGAGTCTGGAACGTCTCCAAAGTTGTGCAAACCTTTTTCCTAAACACTGACAGTGCCCTAAGTAAAAAAAAGAAAACGATTTGAGTAATTACACATTTTTTAGTGATCACTGCCCTCTCCGCCCCAAAAAAGGAACAGCCTCCAGGAGGTATACACAGGAAGTTACACACATTCAGATCAGCAAGACTTTAGGAGAAGCTGTCTCAACAAGGAGGAAGTTATGTGAAATATAATCAGTAAAACCTGACCGCACGTTATTTGCAATGTGAACAATGAGCGTGGCCTGTTTTATTGTTGCAAAACACTAAATGTTACCTGGACTGTGTCCGTGTGGGACACCACTGTTACATTTACGCTTATTTTGTCTTGAGAGCTGTCTAATCCTGTCTATAACATTTGTTGTTAACCAGAGGTAAATCATTCGGCCGAGGAAACCAATGTAGGCATGTCACAATACTGTACCACATTTTTGGGACAATATATTTTCTCAGAAACTATTATGATTAACGATATTATCTGTGATGTTTTCCCATTTTCTAGTTCAAATGAAGTTGACTATTTTTTAAATGAACTTGTTCAATTCATAGTTCATATAAAAATATATATTTTAACTCACTTCGTTTCAAAAATGGACTAGTATATAGGTTTTTTGTTTTGTTTTTTTTTTTCAATATGTTACAATGGTCCATAACCCTCCAAACACAGGCATTTGCCCCATTGCAGCTGCAAGTTTCATCCTACAATCTCATGAGGAAAAACTTGTTGCTTGAATGCTCTTTTTTTTTTTTAAATGAGGAATTAGGGACTGTCATCTTTAATATGCAAGCACAAATTTAATCTAAAGTAGGAATCAGGTTGAGGTAGGAATGAGCTGCCACACACACTCTAATTAATCCCCCCTCTCGTCTTCAGGCTACTGTAAAACACACACACACACACACACACACACACACACACACACACCCCCCCTACCTTCGTTTATTGAACTCGTTCCGGTACAACACCCAATATTAGAGACGAATAATTCAAGTATACATCCTTTTTAAGAGTATGTGACCAAACCCAGAAAACATGTGAGCTGTGTTGTTTGTAATGCGAGCCCGAGGGCACTTCAATTCTAGTTGAAAGCGGAGTGAAGTCACAAGGGCCGCATCCTTACAAAGATGAAAACGGGTGAATTAATCTGCTTCACTATTATAACACGAACACAATATAATTTAGAGAAGTAGTGAACGAGCACATAGAATACATTATGGCAAAGAAAATTCTAGACTTAACTTCCATTTAGGAAAAAAAAAACAGATGCATTAAATTTGGCCAGGGAGGCACGATATTTTCCAAAACATCACACTGATAATATTCTACCGTCAGGTCAAAGACAGTTTTAACATGTCAGAGCGTGTTTTTTTAACACCTGCAAAGTCCACTTTGAAATAGTTGATTTATTTTTGGAATATTAAAACGGATTGTAATATTGCCTATTTATTATTTTCACGTGGTTAATAAGTCCTCTGCATTGTTGTTGTGGAGGGGAGACGTTTGGGTAATGAGTTGCGGTGAATAATTACATACGCGACTTAACATGTTAAACAACAAGAAGCTTCGGCCCAGTCCGCCGAGCTCTTCCAAAAGCTATGGACGCGGTCCGGGAACACTATGTCCCGCCATCTTAAAATCATCGCCATCCCTCCAATTTCCTTGTAAACTGTTGACTACAATTTTTAAGTTTTTCTCACAGTAACCGAGATAATAAAGTGATGTCGTCACGCTCCGCTGACAACGAGCAACCGATTCTCACGAGACAAACGGAGCAGGCTCAATGGACGACAAAGTGTCCGCAACCACTTATTTAACATTGCTACCGCTCTTCTTCATCTATAGTTTCCAATAGGGAAACAAAAAAGGTCAACCCCGTGCCGTACGGACTGACTCACCCGTATTATGGTGCTTTATTTTGTGGAAATGTCTGTCATGCGGTTGGAACGCCGGATTTGTTGTGTTTCTAATCGGCAGGCGGGGAGAGCGAAGCCATCTGAAACGTCCCCCCTCCCTTCTCCCCATTGGTCAGAAAATCTCCTACACTCGTGACGTCACATTCCAGCGTCGATATCAAATGAAATGCAGACGGTAAAATAAATTGCAAAGGGTAAATAATAATAAATCAATACTATTCCTAGCAGGAATTAATTGGAATAGGTTTGAGTAACTGCAGCTATGTCAATTTTATTTTTATTTCAAAGGTTGTCCCTATTAATTACATAATTACATTAGATGACATACATATAACCATGTAAATAATAAAAAAAGACACACCCACACACAACACACCGTCCTCCGACTGGTCAAGCACCTGTGTCCACGTGCATTAAACCGATTGAAAATGTATCTTCCAAATCGAAATACAGTCATTAAACAATATTTTTAAATACTGTATTTTTGTGTCAAAAATATTAGTTTTTATACACTTTTATTTTAGTTTAAAGTTTTAATGTGCTCTTCATTGATTAAAATGGGAATTAATATAAAAAATGCATTTAAACTAAATTATACCGAGCTTTATGCGTTGGCTAAGTTATTCAACAAGAATGCAAACTGGAAAAATTGCAAAGTTACCATTAGATGCAGCTACAAATACATGTCACCATTAAATGATTGATCATAGTTTTACTTATCTTTATTTATTTTATTATTATTATTATTATTTTTGCTTGTATCTTAAGTGACCTGGACTTTTCTTTTTTTTAAAATAAAGGCTACTATTACATTTGTGCTTGCATGAAAACATGCTTTTATTTATTTTTTCATATGTTCTAGTGCTATACCCTGTTAATTTTCAAGCATAATCAGCTGCATTGATGCGCGTTGAAAGTAGTGTGTAAAAATGGAGGTTGGCAGTGCTGTTTGCATCAACTGACCAGACGGTGGCAGTGTGTAAGCATGCTTGATTGGGCCAAAGTATTTTGCATAAACTCATGTGCGTAACCTCTCCTGTGCGCCCACCTCCCAAGAAATCAATTTGACTCGAATCACACCATTTGAAATGTCCACTTACAAAGCTAAACAACATCTGTTGATTTTATGACAGGACAGATTAATTTACATCATTGTGAATTTCCGTTTGCAGGCCGTTTGGCATCAACATGAAGCATATGCTAAAAATAAAGATGCAGTTTGGCCATCACAATGACCCACTTGGCATCATTATGGAGTTGGTCTTAATACTCGGGCTAAATGACAAGAATGGGCATCAGGCAGAGGCTGAAAATATCTCCCTGCTTGAACAGATTTACCACTTTTGCAGCAAATATGCTTTTAATGACGCACCACTGCCGCATTTGCAACGTTTTAACTGTGAATTCTCTAGAGTCTCACATTCTGTGAATTCTCTTGAGTTTCACACTGATAGTTACATACATGCGTTTATGATTCAAGGAGTAAAATAATTTTTGACAAGCTAAGAGCAAATCTGCAGCGGCTGATATGGAAATGTATTTTGACTAAATGTCTCGCCAATCACCAGCAGCTATTCTTGAACATCAGCACTTCATTAAATCGATTTTATAAAACGAATAGCCTGACAGCCCCCCATCTACAACAGTTTTTTTCCTGGCTCAAATTGAGGCACTGTTAGTTTCAAAACCGAACGAATAATGTTTTAGGATCCAAGAACTGCAGGCTCAGACAAACTACAGAAAATCTAATCACTTTTGCTACTTTTATTATTTGAGCTTCAATATTCTCTCCATCTAAATCACATGTGTCACACTCAGGCCTCGAAGCCAGATCCTGCCCACCATATCATTTTATATAAGGTGTAAAAAAACAGTGCCATCTTATGTAGTAATTGGTTTATACAAGCATGATTTCTTATCTTGTGAGATCGTACTGCATCAATTTTAACAAGCCTCTAAATGAATCACGTTCCTAATCTGTTTGGTCACACTGGAAGAAACCGTTTTAATGACTTTTCTCAAGTCGTGAGGAAAAAAAATTAAGGGAACAAAAATCCATGCAGGCAGCATACAATTACCAAGCTTCCCTATGGTGGTGGTCCGGCTTGTGGAATCAACATACTCATCTTAAAGTAGCATTTCTCTACATTTTTAACTCAAAAACTTTCTATGGGATTGCTGTGCATGATGTGGAATAAACAGTGTCAGATGTGGAAAAAAACCAGCACCGGTTCGGTAAAATGGTACAGGATGTTGGAAAACAGTGGAGGATGCAGACACACCAGTGCAGTATGCGGTAAATAAATGCCCACTGAACAAAGGCTTTCAGGGATTGGTAACAGACCAATACAGCAAGACAAATGTGTCCACTGGCTATTTAATTCTGCTTAACATGTAGAACAAATCCAAATAAAATGAAATGTGTCACTTTAGGGGGTCACACGGTGCCAACCTGGGCAGCCATGTTAGACTCGTGTGTTAAAACACAGCAGGACGTCCAGTCACCCGCTACCGAACTGTGCTCGGACACTTCAGGGAGCAAATAGAGCACTACAGGGATAGTATGCGTTTGTGCGCGCATGCAGTGTGTGCAATCGTTTCAAATACATCCGTCATGATGTTAGGTTGTCTCTTGTCTCCCCATGCGCATGGCTCTGGATGTAAATTATGACTCACAGAAGCTTTTGCAAGGGTTCTCGTTTTGTATTTGTGTGTGTATCTGCTTGTCCCATTGAGTAAACTGCTTTACAGTGCATCAGTAACTGTGGCTCTCCTTACCCCCATGCCAGGGCGTTGCAGTACTTTAATTGCTCCATTTTCTTTTTCAGTTTTACTCAAGTGGCATCATATCAGAAGCTTGTTTGTCTCTCAAAATGTTGGCTAGCAACATAAAGCAAAAAAACAAAAACAAAGACCAAGTAATGGCTTGTAACCCGAATAATTAGTTGGGCACACTTAAGAGACTATGCTTATAACTCATATGACATGAATCTATTCCAGCCCCCCCCCAAAAAAACGGAACAGAAAATGTTTTTTTTTTAATCAGGAATACAGCCATCTGTAATACTGTGCTTACTTTATAAAACGTAAATTAACAAATACAATGGAGGAAAAAAAACATTTGTGCATCGTGATTAATTCACTGCGAATCCTTCTACTGTGTGCAACATGGCCACTGGGGGGCAATATAATTCAGTCAAGAACTCACAAATGAAGAATTTCACAACTCTAAATGAGTCTGTGAACTGTCGTATTAATCAGTTTTCACAGAGAATGTAATTGCCTTGGTTTTATGTTTAGTTTGACAGTAAACTTCAACTGGGGATTGTGATAAACACCTTGAAGCCTCTTGTTTGTTCATTATCTGCCAAACGTCTGCTTGTTCCGAAGTGAGTTGAATAGATTTTACTGACACCATACGGCACTCATATCTCAAATTTTTGGGCTCAAGTCAAAGCAGAAAATTGTCCAAGCATGTCTCAGGGCCCAACTGAACAGTATCTCTAAAATTACGCATACCGGTAATTGCCAAAGAGAACTCGTTCGAGCACACAAAGAAACAAGAATCACTCGTCTCTCAGCTTTGCCGCAATGACTTACTTGTACTGTCAGAGAGACCAAAGAAGTGTTGAGATGAAGGCGGTGAAGGCGTGTCAGATCTTCGACTTGGGGCTGACAAGTCCTGGGCGTCGCTCGTTGACGGACTACTCAACAAATCGGATGTGACAGTTGGATGCAGTGACTCTGGAGGCTCTTGATCACCTTCTTATTGAGCAAATTGATCAGACGGCATGAGAAGAAGTCAACTCGACTTTTAATGTCGAAGAGACCTTGAGGGAAAGACATCATGTGTTGAAAGGAGGGTTCAATCATGGCAGAAAGACACCCGTCATGGGTCATGTTGACATGTAGTTGTTCAGTTATGGAAGCTGCTGTTTATTAGGCCCTCTTGGAATCGTTCTGTTCCGACTAATGAATCAGCTTTTGGGGAGACTAAGTATGGCCGAAAACACATCCGTTTTTACAAGCGCATGTATCTGGGTGGTTGTGCCCCTGATATGAGTTTGTCCCATTCACATGAAATTGGTTGAACATTTCTGTCATAACAAGAAAATCTCATGGACCAATGCAGATACTGAATAGGAAGTTAGCTATTTTGGTTTAAAGGAGCCCTTTTGGGGGAAGATCAGGGCGCTCTGGTGCACCCAATTTCGGCGCGCAGGCACCACATACAATGACGTGGCCGGCCAGATCTGGCCCCCGGGCTTTGAGTTTGACACCTGTGTTTTTGAGCAAGTTTGTTCGTCTTGTAAGATGTAGTCTGTTGTTGTTGTTTTTATTTTTATTTATTTATTTTTTTTTAGCATTTGAATTTTAATTAAAAAAAATTCCCCCTAATTTTAGTTTTAGTTTGCAGTGAGTTTTCCTCAACTATAATAACCCTGGTTTGTACCAATCCCTTTTCATCTGATTCTCTCTCTCTCTCTCTCTCTCTCTCTCTCTCTCTCTCTCTCTCTCTCTCTCTCTCTCACACACACGAAAAATAAACAGGTTGTCAAGGAGTTCATGGAGTAATTTTAGCATCATGTGTGCACCAACTGTGTGCATGTGTGTTGGTGTTGGTGGGGTGGTTTGGATTGGTTTGTCCCAGATCAGAGGCAGAACAACAGCACATTAATGGGCTTTACGTACAAACATACGTGTGCATGCCCAAAGACAATAACTGCTGGCAGAAACGCAACCAAAAAGTCTCTCTCTCAATAAAACGCGCACACACACGCACACGCATGGACGTTCTTGCCTGTCAGATCATATTAGCATCAGGTCAGCACACTTTTTTTTCCTAGTGTGTTGCTATGGCAGCACGGCGAGAGAAAAAAAAAATGGCTGTCAGTGATGACTGGATTGCTGCCTGTCACTGCAGTGCTTAATGTACGCTTTATTGGCCCTCCAGTCACAGTGAAAGAAATTAAATTTAAATACCTGTAAATCTGTAACATAGATGACGAAAAAGTGTCATTTTGAAAAAATGTTCTTCCTCTGACACTTCTTTCAATACATTCAAACGGTATAAAAGAAAGCTGGAAGTAATTATCCC